TGTGTGTGGCTTATCCACTGAAAGCCTTGTCCTCCAGTCCCATTTGTTATGTAGTAAACAATAGGATTTTCTGCTCTTTAGGGCTGAATAGTATTTCACTTCATGCAAAACAGAGATAAACTTACCAATGATACAGGGTTTTCCTAAAGTTAAATAGGATGATACATAGGATGCTTAATACTGATGTGGTATTTAATTATACTATATAATATGCTGTTGATTGAAATTGATTAAATGAAGTGATAAATAAATAATTAAGGCTATACCTCTATGTATGTATCTATGTACGTATCAGTTTATGTACAATATGTCATTTCATTTTCACAAAAGGGTTTTCTCTTTAACTACAAACATGATACTGGGTATCCTTTTTCTAAAATATGATAAACATGTAGTTTCAATAAGTTCAGTTAAATTTCTATTGCTAAGATGCTTTGGCTAGGTCATAAAAGCAAGAACATCCGGAAAAAAATGATATCTGGAAAAGAAAAACTACGGGAAATGTCTTGGCTTACCAATTAAGGAGTATATGAAAAACAGAATAAATAAAACCTCTTAATTTATGCATTTGTGTTCTCATAAATCATTTTCCTGTCAGAATTATCAGACATTATTATTGCTGAATATTTTAAACATTGCAGTGAAATCTTGGCTGCATAAATCATAGCGCTTCCAGTTAGAACATTGTGTACATGCCTCAGCATTTTTCTTATGTCTTGATTAGAGATGAATCCATGCCGTCTAAATGTCAAGTTGTACTCTTAAATTTCAGTAACTCAGCAATCCGTGCTGGACACTGTGCTTACCAGGTAGGCACAGATTGTCAAACTAGGTTTCCAAGACTAACTCTTCCGTAAGATGCAGCTGATGTTTCAGACGTGGCAGTGAATTTTACCCACAACCATCCTAACTACAGGCGATACTTCTCCCCCTCCTCCCCTCATCTTCTTTTTCTTCTTTTCTCCTCTTCCTCCTCCTCATCCTTCTTCTTCCTATTGTTATTATCATTACTACTAATACAATTATTGCTAGTATTACTTCCAGCAAGAAGTGGGGAAAATCTAGGAATTGCTTGTTCTTTTTGATTTTTTTTTTATTTGAAAAGTAGATTTACAGAAGAAAACAAAAACAAAGAAAAAGGGGTTCACTCCTCAAATGGCCATAGTGATGAAGCTGAGCCAATCCAGAGCTGGAGCCAGGAGCCAGGAGCTTCTTCTGGGTTCCCCACATGGATGAAAGAACCCAAAGTCTTGAGCCACCTCTGCTGATTTCCCAGGCTGTAAGCAGGGAGCTGGATGGAAAGTGGAGTAGCCAGGACATGAACTGGTGTCCATCTTGGCTGGGTGACTTTTCGAAGGCCCAGCATGGTTGCTGGGAGAGGAGATCACGTGAAGACCAGGACCTTCATCCTTGTCTTCGATTGGAATGGCAGGGACCAACCCCTTCAGCCATTACTGCTGCTTTCCAGGGTTTGAATTTGCCAAAATGCAAGCATTGCAGTGGAGGACATGCCGTCTTGACCAGCCACATGACCAAATGTCTGCCCCTACCTTTGGCTTTTAAGAGAACAATTGCCAATCTTTCCCATTATACTCATAAGTGACCTACTAACTCCCTTTGCTGCAGTTACAGACTGGGCTCATAAACGCAGAGGATAGCATGGGTGAGGTTGTGCAATTAAAGGAGTAGAGGGTCCTTTTATTTTTTTAAACCTTTAGAAAATTGAGAGGGAAACCCATGTGATGTATATAATTTTCACTTAAGGTGAGAGAAACATTCTAGAGGCATTTGAGCAGATGAACAAATCGTATTTGTATACACATAACTAAAACAGTAATTTATCAGGTAGAAGGCAGATGGGGTGAATAAATGCCAACCTGTATCTACAGTTGGGTTGTGTTGATGATGAAGTGCTGTTTATTCAGGGCCAGCCTAGCTTGTCAGCAACATAAGAGCCGTCGCAGCACATGACTCCCTGCGTAGCTAGAAGACAATAATAAATTATCTCCTATGCAAACAGCACCGGCATAAAAGCAGAACAGACTGCCTCCCGATTCCTAATGATCCTCACTCATTCCCTTGTTTGATTCTGTTTTAAACGTGAAACTTTTTACATTGTCCTAAGGCCATGAGGATGGAATAGTTTGGACAATTGTATTTGGGTAGACAAGGTATAGTTGTTCAAGATTTCTGTTTGGAGGTTACTGTAGGTATGTAAGTATCTTGTTTTTCTAACATGCTTATGTGGTTCATGTAATTTTTTGCTTTGTTAATGCTTCATCTGATCCCGTGGAATTCAGGGCCATTCAGAAGAAAAGTAGGATGGCTTTACTTAAAGGAGCTGAATTATGGACTCAACTTTTGAGATATGGTGAAATCACAGATTCCTTTGGTCTCAAACTCTAGTTTGCTCAAAGAGAAACACAAGCAGTGTGGACCAGAAATACGCATTCCAGGGTGACTTAGGATGAGGCTAGTGGAAGAAATATAAAGGGTATGAGCGAGTACAAAGCATATGATGGCAATGGAATTCCAAAGGATTGGATTTTAGAGAAACATAACAATTAACACATGCTTCCCCCAGGCTGTGCTCGGCAGATTTGTGTGTGTGCATTGGATTCTCCTGGAATTGGTGGGAAAGGCAGATTTTGCTGCAGAGAATCCAGGTGGGACCTGAGACTATATTTTCAACACGGCGTCTTGTGTTGCTACTGCTGCTGGACTTGAGTCAGGTGCTATAGCACCATCAGTGTCGCAGAGAAGACTCAAAACAGATTGGGGATCAGACAACATCTTTGAATAATAAATGTTGCATGAGTGTGGCTTCAAGAAATGCGGATCCTGATGAATCAGAAATTTGTGCTCCAATACAAGTAACCCCTATGATTTCTTGTTGAAGTGACAAGCCAGGAGGTCTTGTGTTCATAGTCACCATACGTGAAAATCTCTTTAAAAGGTGTGTCCCCTTTCGTGGATTTACAAAATGCATCCTGGTGGGTTTATAAACGTGATGGAAAAATACTGGGAAAGGAAAATGGGCTTCTAACGCCAATGCTTTCATGACTACAAGAAGATGCAGGTAGTTGCTGCCCATCCTAACTTTCATTTAGAACCCTGTCTCTTTTTATGATTAGTGGCAAAAGCCCAAATTCTGAGTTCTTGCCTGATCACTGGTGAAGTCTTGAAACTTCTTACCTATTACATGTGTATATGACATACAATAGAAAGCCTGAAAATTTTTTGAAAAGCTCATTCTAAATATATTTATCTGTGCTTTGTTAATTCCTTTCTAAAAAAAAAAACAAAAAGGTCTACTTGAAGATTGTTCTTGTACTCTTTGAACAATAAAATAAAAACCACGGAAGCTGACAGGACGCTTTCTGCAGCATGTTTCAAGGCTGTAGCACTTGAAAACTGCATCACTTCATCAGTACAATAAACCCTGTTACTCATCAGCAGTAGATGTTGTGATGTTTGCAGATGAGTAAGAGTAATTCCTTGGCAGCAGAAGGAGTCAGTGGCCTTGTAACATGTCTAATGAGAGGGATTGCCATGGAGCATCAGCAACACCATCTTCAGGATGTAGAGGCTGGTGATGGATGGAACTCACAGTCTGCTAAGAATCTTGTGCGCCCTCTTGGGGGCGTTGGCACCTTGATATTAACCTCAACATTGTCTCAGCATATAGGTCTGATGTGTCTTGGAAATGGCTGGTAAATACCCTAAACCACAAGGGGCTACCCACAAATTTCAAAAAGCTACCACGTATAGAAATTATTGTGGGATATATATAAAAAAAAAACTGCAACTGTCTTCATTACTTTTTATGGTGATTATTTGGGGAAGTGTGGCATTGTCACCTTCCATGGTATCCATATTAATGTTTTGGCAACAGAAGGTATAGTACTGTTGACTGTTACAACCAGAGGTAACAGAAATCTTATTCCCTTGAATACAGCACACTGTGGTGCGTTAACTCTGTAACACAACAGACCTTCAGTTGACTCATTAGATAGGATGACCAAGATAGGATGAACTTGTATTTGCACTTAAATACAGACTGCCCACAGCCATGAGTTCTGTATCCAGAGTCAACCAATCACGGAGCAAAAAATTTTTGAAAAAAAAAATGTTTTTGCTGAACATGTATGGATTTCAATAAGTGAAACTGCTCTGTTGATAGCATTTCCCATTCTGTTAATTACTGTGTACAGTTTAGGGATGATCTAATGTGTATGGGAGCAGTGGGCTTGTGGCTCAGTAGATTAAGCCACAGTTTGGGACATGGCATCTCCTGGCAGAGTGCTGACTCAAGTCCTGACTATTCCTAGTGCAGCTTCCCACTAAAGTGCCTATGAAACATCATTTGGTGGCTCCAGTGCTTGAGTCCCTGCTACCCATGTGGGAGACCTAGAAGGGGTTCCTGGCTCCTGGCTTTCCCCTAAGCTGTTGTGGCTGTTTTTGGAGTAGACAGATGGAAGGTGTGTGTGTTTCCTTCTCTCTGTCATTTTGCCTTTTAAATAGATACATAGATAGGTAGATAGATAGATAGATAGATAGATCTATCAATAAATATGTCTTTGAAAGTCAGTGGCAGACAGAGGGAGAGACAGAGACTTTCCATCCAATGGTTACTCACCAGAGGGCTACTATTGCAGGGTCTGGGCCAGACCAGAACCAGGAACTTCTTCCAGGTCTCCCATGTGGGTTGTAGAGACCCAAGCACTTGGTTCATCCTCTGCTGATTTTCCAGGTACATGACTATGGAGCTGGATCAGAAGTGAAACACACAGGATACAACCCGCACCCATATGGGATGGTAGCATTGCAGGTGGTAGCTTAACTTGCTCTGCCACAATGCTCCCAAACATTCTCGCTTACAAGTGTCTGTCCTAACACATCCCAAGACCCAGGGCACTCGTGACATGACTTCACACCCATCCCTGCTGTCACTGACTGGCAGTTTAACATTAATGTCAAATTTCCTGTTGTTGTTTCAGAACTGTGAGTTTCACAGCAATATCACCAGTGATTTGAAAACATTCACTGACAAGTTTGGTTTTGATGTCCTCATCCTGTTTGCCAGCTATCTGTCAGAGGAGCAGCAGCCAAGACGACAGATTGCTGTGTTCTCCCAGAACCTAGAGCTGTGCAGCCAGGTGAGCCGTTCTTGTCTCCTTTCCCCCTTTCACAGCATCCTGACCCAGTGATACTCAGAACACACTGGGACACTGAAGCAGATCAGTGGCTTCTATGAAATTGGCCCACGAGACAATTGGAGTTGAGTTCTTAAGAAATGAAAGGGGCATTTTCCACATTGGATCTTTTATTTTTTAAGATTTATGTTACTTTTATTGAAAGATAGAGTTTACAGAGAGAGAGGGGAGAAAGGAGAGATCTTTTGTCCACTGGCTCATTCCCCCAATGGCTGTAATGGCTGGGGCTGGGCCAATCTGAAGCCAGGAGCCAGGAACTTCTTTCTGGGTCTCCCACAGGGTTGCAGGGTCCCAATGATCTGGGCCATCCTCCATAGCTTTCCTAGGGAGGTTGGAACATGCAGAACACAAACCAGAACCCCTTATCAGGAAGTGAAAATACATTGCAGCATGCATCGCTACTCCTTAATAAAAAGAGGACTCCCAATGAAACTGTTAAGGGTACCCTTGACAATACAATAGTAGACTTCCTAACATGTCCTATACCTGTAATGCCATGATACACTTAAATAGCAGAATGTTGGATTTGTGACTCTTGTTGAAGGACTACACTATTGTAATAATACGGGGGAAAATAATGGTGGTGGGGAGCACAGTGATAGAATCCCTATACTTGTAAAAATGTATTATGGGAAATGATAACTCAAAAAATGAAATAAAAAGAAATGGTGCATCCAGAACACAAACCAACACTCATATGGGATATACACACTACAGATGGAGGGTTAGCCTGATACGCCACTGTGCTAGCTCCCACATGACCCTGTGCGAGCCCATGCTGTGTTGCTTTAACAAAAGACTTGAGGATAGTCAATTTATAAACGAAATGGCTACTGTAACTCATAAGCATGTATTTATTATTATTTCAAGAGCATGTATTGGTATCTGCTTCATTCTGGTGAAGGCCTGGTGGCACATGGCATCACAGGGAGGGGAGAATGTGTAAAAGAGATCACATGATGATACAGGGTGCACAGAGCAATTTTATGTTGAGAAAAGCAAATTATAAAAGGTGTCAGAATGGCCTGAAGGCTCACACACCATCTCTGTGTCTCCTGACAGATTTGCTGTGAGCTGGAAGAGTGTCAGAGCCCTTCCTTAGAATTGGAGCCCTTCGAGTGCAGCTGCGATGAGATCCTAGTGTACCAGCAGGAGGACCCTTCTGTGACGTGTGATCAGGTGGTTCTCATCGTCAAGGAAGTTATCAATAGGAGATGTCCAGAGATGGCCTCCAACAGCCGGACATCCTCAACAGAGGCCGTGGCAGGCAGCGCCCCCCTCTCGCAGGGATCCTCAGGGATTACGGAGTTGTATGGTTCTGATGTGGAGCCACAGCCCAGCTCTGTGAACTTCATAGAAAACCCTCCAGATCTCAACGATTCTAACCAGGCTCAGGTGGATGTCAATGCAGACCTCGTGAGCCCAGATAGCGGGCTGGCCACCATCAGGAGCAGCCGCTCATCCAAGGAGAGTTCAGTTTTCCTCAGTGATGACAGCCCAGTGGGAGATGGGGCTGGACCCCATCACAGCCTGCTTCCAGGCTTTGACTCTTACAGCCCCATCCCTGAAGGAGCAGTCGCAGAGGAGCACGCACGGTCTGCTGAGCACAGTGAACACTTTGACCTCTTCAACTTTGACCCAGCACCGCTGGCTTCAGGGCAATCCCAACTGTCTTCCCAACCATCTTCCCATTCGCCAGACTACTCCCCGGTGAATGACTTCCCAGACAGTGATTCCTCAGAAGGACACCTCCCTGCTGGGGCCAAGGCACTGGACAGACTGGGGATCAATATGTCCAATTTTTCATCCGGCTCTCTTCTGTCAGAGACTGGCAAAAACAGCCTTGGAGAATTCGATGAGGACTTTGTCCAGAGACAAGAAAGTCCTTCAGATGGCTCTGAAAGGAATTTGAACCTGACAGGTTTTGTGGGAGATGAGCCTCCTTCGCCTGAGAGGCTGAAAACTATTGGGAAGAGGATTCCACCAACTCCTATGAACAGCTTTGTAGAAAGTTCTCCATCTACTGAGGAGCCAGCCCCGCTCTACCCAGAAACTTTGCCCCAAAAAACAATGGATGCAGGACACTCGGGGCCACCTCAGGCACGTGCACGTTGCAGCAGCTGGTGGGAGGGATTGGAACTTGACTCTAAAAATATTGCTCATGCATGGAGTTCTGGTGAACAAGGGTCTGTCTTCCAGAACACTGAATTGTGGAAGGACCACAGGCCCAGCCCAGCTGAGAGGAGAGCTTCTGATTCTCTGTTTCAACCAAAGAGTCTTGAGTTCCCAAAGTCAGATGCCTGGGAACCTGAATTTGGCCAGCCTCAAGTGGAGAGCAGTGCTCTTCCGATCCGCAATGAGGAAAGCTTTCAGGTTCAGAATTTGCCTGCTGAGAAATCCCTCTTGTCAGATGCTTCTCCACAGGACACAAACCACCTCATAGAAGACTTTGCTGCTTTGTGGCATTCCAGCCGCTCGCCCACGGCAATGCCTGAGCTGTGGGGAAATCCTACAGATGATGGGGAGACTGCTGTTGCAGTGTCGTTACCAGCTTGGAGTGCATTTGGTAAAGGAGATAATACCACAGCTCTACAGAGTGCCTGGAACTTGCACCCCACGAGCCATGAGCCACCTTCTGTGAGAGACCCCAAAGAGTGGGCAATGGCCAAGAGTGGGCTTTCATTTCCTCCAGAAGACCTACTGGATAGTTCACCCACCGACACAAGTGGCCAGGCAGCTCAAGAAATCTGGGTCAGAAAGAATAATGACTCCCAGGAGAACAGCCTCATGTCTGGAAATCCCAGTTCCAACCTGGATAGTGCCTGGAGCCATTCTAAGGCAGTGAAGGAAGGCCCATATGTTTTGGTGGATCCCAGCTCCACAGGGAAAGTATATGCTAAGGTAGATTCCTGGCACCTTTTTGAGGAGAGTATGAAGAAAGGAGGCTCGGATGGCCTAGCTCCTTGGGAAGATTCTTTCTTATCATACAAATGTTCCGATTATAGTGCATCCAATGTAGGAGAGGATTCGGTGCCCTCCCCCTTAGATACCAATTACTCCACCTCAGACTCTTACACATCACCCACGTTTGCTGGAGATGAGAAAGAAGCAGAAACCAAACCCTTTGCTAAAGAGGAAGATTTTGAGTCTAAAGACACTAACCCTGCCCTGGGGGAGGTTGTTGTTTCTGCCCCATTGCCACAGGTGCCGCCCAGAAATCGGCTGAGCTCAGGTCCTGGGAACCTGGACATGTGGGCTTCCCCTTGCATCAACAATGGTTCTGAAAGCAATGATGCTCATGACACAAATAAAGACGTACTTAGGATGGAAGACACTGGTGATAAGACCCTCTCTGTGGATGACGACATGGGGGAGAGCAGCCAGTCGAGCTACGACGACCCCAGCATGATGCGCCAGTACAATGAAACCAACAGACAGCTTACACTGCTGCACAGCAGCACCAACTCGCGGCAGGCAGCCCCCGACGGTCTCGACTTGTGGAACAGAGTGATTCTGGAGGATACACAGTCCACAGCAACCATCTCGGACATGGACAACGATTTGGACTGGGATGACTGCAGTGGAGGTGTGGCCATTTCTAGTGACGGCCAAGCAGAAGGATACCTAGCTGAAGGGAGTGAGCCAGACACCCGATTTTCTGTGAGACAGCTGGAGCCATGGGGCACCGAGTATCAGGAAGGCAGTCAAGTAGATTGGGAACTCCCTGCCTCTGCCGAGGGAGCCAGGGATACGGCTCCCACGCAATACCACACACTGGATGAGAAGAGTGGACAGCTCATCGCAAATAGTATTTGGGAGTCTGCCATGAGAAATGAAGACATGCCGTCACTCATGTTGCCAAGCTCAATGTACACGACAGAGTCAGGGCAAAGCCATTTGCCCCATGAAAATCCCAGTCATTCAGAAGACACTCAGAACAGTCACATTCCAGATGTGCTTGATGTATCTGCAACCGAGTCAGGAACACTACCTGACAACTGGAATGCAGGGCCAGAAACCCTGCAAAGCAATATAGCATCTGTGATGACCAAGCTTGAGGACGTAGGGCATTTTGCATCCTCAGACCCATGGGAAGGTCATAGCTATGGACAGAGTGTAGGTGAGAAGGAAGGCCAGGGAGTCATGCACAGGGCAAGCCTCCATGAGGAGGTATGGGACTCCAGCGGGGGAAATGCTTTAGGAGTTTCTGGAAAAGAACCAGGGAACCAGGAACTCTCCTTCTCGGGTCCATCTGCACATCAAGAAATCTACCTTGAAGCAGGAACAATCAGCTCTCTTTCAAGTACATTCAGTCATCAAATGGAGGGACCAGAAGAAGTCGTAGGATCTGAGGAAGCAGCTGATATTCTGGACTCTTTGGATGTGCAGGAAACAGACAGCCCTGAAAAACAATCAATACATCGCAAAACTCCAGCTGAAGCTACCGAGATTCCAGGTAGAATGAATTTAACTGAAAATTCATCTTTATCTGAAATGAATCTTGAGGAAACTGAAGAATACAATGATCTGGAGCCAGATAGAGTGAGTGAGAAACCACTGCCCCCTGAAATTCCTCAAAACCTGCAGATTTTGGAAGGCCCTCTAGACAGTGGTGTGCAGGTCAGTAATGCAAACTCAAAAATGACCATAAATCTTGATGTTCAGAATTCAGAAAATAACTTTCTAGAAGTCAACTCCTCTGGAAAGGCTGACCAAGATAGTATTTCTAGTGAGTATACCCGTTCAAGTGCAACAAGTCCTGACTTAGATGATTCTTCAGCAGCCTTGTCTTCCTGGAGCCGTGGACCCGGGACCGAGCATCCCCAAGAGAATCAGAATGATTGCAGTGAAGAGAATCAGCAAGACTCCGAACTTGTTACCACTGATGACCACAGAGAGGTAACCCCTGAAATGAAGGACTTTGAGGACATGGTTGGAAAGAGGAGTTTCAATCACAAGGTTCCTAAATTTTTAGAGATTTGGGATGACTCAGTTGATGGTGATTCCTTATCCTCATTATCTAGTCCTGAAATAGGTAAATATTCAGAGTGTGCAGATTTCTACCAGGAAAGCAATCTGCTCATTAGCCAGCAGGAGAAAAGTGAACTTGACATCCCTGCAACTATGCAGTCAGAGAATGCTCCAATAAGCCCACATTCTGATGACAGCATAGGTAGTGATAAGTCGTTGGACAAAGGGATCCACTCTCTGGACATTTGCCGCATTGCTCAGAGTGAACCCGGGGCCTGGGACTCATTGAATGGCTCTGCTAAGTCCTTGGCCTCAGCTGATTCCAAGTCTGAGGAACCTTACGACCAGGAAGGCAAGTCAGAACCAGAAGAGAGCAAGTCACCCCTGTCCTGTGACAATCAACACAGCAGCCCCGATCCTTGGAACTTCTCACCGTTAACAGAGACTGAGATACAGACTGCATCTGTGAAAAATGAGATGGGATCTTCTCCAGAAATGGACAAGACAGGAGATGTAATATGGAAGGGATCTCCCGAAACTGAACCAAAGAATGAAGATCATCCTGAATTGGAAATGCTTAGCTTCTCGGCAGAAAGTGACAAGTGGTGGACCGTGCCACCACAGGATGCCAGACCCACTGAGGGTGCTTCAGAAGGGGATCGGTCTAATTCAAGGGGTGTGTTTGAAACAAATTCTTCTGTGTTCCAAAATGCAGGTCCTTGGGGAGTCCCCATTCAGGGGAACGGTGAATCCATGGAAACACCTTGTGTTAACCCTTTTGGTGACAAACATCAGTCACCCTTTCTGAATTACGATGGAGAGAATGCGCATGAGCAACTATGGAACATTCAACCAAGGGAACCGGACCCAGATGCCAATCAGTTTAGCCAGCTTGTCATATTAGGCCAAATTAAAGAAAAGGATCCCTTCATGTCTTTGGCTGGTGATGAACCTCCTCCTTCAGAAACAGGCAGCCCAGAGCAATGTCAAAGTGCTGCATTGTCTGCCTGGGATCAGCCAGACCCAAGCTTCACTCACACAGAACAAAACGCATGTGTCATTGCTAATGTCTCAACCATAGAATGTCAAGAAGCAAACTGGTGGGAACAAAAGAATTCATACCCCGATGAGACGACAAATCCAAGCACTGCTACAGAAAATTTCACTACCAGCCAGCCCACTACACAAGCGACAGGGAAGGCAAACTCTAGCCCTATGGAGAACCCCGAAGGTAGCTTTGTTCCAGATATTTTGCATGGTAACTTTCCAGAGGGCGGGCAGCTGGCCTCGGCCTCACCTGACTTATGGGTGGATGCTAACCAGCCCTACAGTTCGAATGAAGATGATGAGAACCCTGACCTACTGACCCACTGTGACCAGGAGAGCCACCCACAGGTTTCCAACAGCCCTGATATCTGTCAGGATTCTGAGGCCAAGCAGGAGACTGAGCAGGTGCAGCCCATCCATCCTGGCCCAGGGCCTGGCATGCAATCCAGTGGGTTGGATCTCATGGAACCAAAAGCAAATGAAGAACCATCTCCCGAGCCTACACAGGAGTTTGTTCCATGGAAGTCTGAACTCTATCCTGAAAACACACTTGCACTATCTCCCATCAGCAACCAAGCCAACATCGGCAGCTCACCCCAACCTGCCTCTTGCAAAGGCTCTCCTGAATCCCTTGACATAGATGGGGACAGTAAGCTGAGTGTAAATGCATCAGAGGATGAAGTCAGCCCGGACAAAGCATCAGTGTCGGAACCTGATGATAGAACCAACCAAAGGACTGAACGTGTGGGAACCAGCATCTTTGTAACTTACCAAGAGCCAAATGCAGACAGCCATGGCTTTTGGGAGTCAGAGGACTTTTCCTCTGAAAGTCAGACAGGTGCAAGGGCCTTGCTTCACATTGAGCAACCCGAGAGTCTTGCTGCAGTCAGTGATGCTTTACTAGCCTCAGACACTTGTCTGGATGTGAGTGAAGCTGCCTTTGACCACAGTTTCAGTGATGCCTCAGGTCTGAACACATCCACGGGAACAATTGATGACATGAGTAAACTGACGTTATCAGAAGGTCGTGAGACACCGGAAACGCCCATGGATGGGGATGTAGCAAAGCAGGATATCTGTTCCTCCGAGGCGTCGTGGGGTGACTTTGAATATGATGCCATGGGTCAAAATATTGATGAGGAGTTTATGAAAGAGCCTGATCACTTCCGGTACGGCAGCGATCTGCCCTTGGAGGAGGGTGCTCTGAAGCACTCACTGGCCCCATACACGCCACCCTTTGATTTGTCTTATCTCACCGAACCCAAGAGAGTCCCTGATTCAACAGGGAACTCAGGGTCGCCAGAGGATGTGTCCCTAGGGAGCGAAGCAGCAGAGACATTGCTTTCTGCTCTTCCTGATGAAAGAAGTGAGGGGAATTGCACAGAGACCAAAAACACGCAGCCTGGGCCCCCGCTGACTGTGCTGCATATTCAGGAAGACCCCGACTCTGTTTCTTGGCCTGCTGGAGCAGAAGCCAGCAGACAGTTATCGCCTTCAAACATTGAATGGGAAGTAGAAACGGTTCTCTCTGATTCACCAGCAGGAGGAGACATAGGATCACCAACTGGTAAGAAATGTCCCATTCTTCCCACCCGCGCTACCGTTGCTTTTCAAAAACTAGCGCATTTATGAAATACAATCTTACCAATGTGGTAAGAACAAGAACTAGCCAAATTTAAAATGCACACTTCACCAAGTCCTGTTAAATAAAGCAGGACAATCAAGTGCCCATGTGGTGACAAGCAAACTAAACACCTCTGCGAAATAAAACCATTTCTTAAATCACTACCTTTCAGATGATCACTTGCCAAGATCACAAATCACTCAATGTGTTAATTAATGTTTAATCTCCCCTTCTCACCTTCAACTCACACTTCTAGGTGCCAACAGGGGAATGTTTGAGTTGGAAGAAGAAAAAAGCATGCCCAGCAAAGAGCCTGAGCAGACACAATCAGAACAAAAGGAAGAAACGCATGGAGAGCAGGATGAAGATGATCAGGCACTACGCATGGATTACATACTGGTAAGCCATGAAGGAAATTCACTCCTGAAGCCAGAAATCAGTGACAAGAGACAAAGCATATCTGAATTAGAAGACTCTTCCATAGATTCTGAAGAACAAGAGCTGCCTGCAACTCAGTCAGTAAGCTCCCCAGACATGCGTCCACCTGCCTCCTTCAAGGAGACAGCTGAGCATTCTGCAGAGACGAGGTTTTCCAATGCTCACAGGAGATCATCTCTGGAGAGCCCTGCACAGGAGCAGAGTTGGATGGTCTTGGGCCATAGTGAAGTCAGTGATTTGTCGTTGGGAGCCAAGGACTCAGGCCTTGGATGTCCTGACCTTGGTATGGATAAGAGTTCCCCAAGGCAGGTTCTGGGGGAAATGAAGACTCCTGAGTCCTTTGCATTTGAGGAAGCCACCAATGTGGCTAGTCAGCATTGGCAGAGTGAGAGCCGGAGTGCGGTTGGACCAGATGCAGCTGTGCTGCAGGCTGTCAGCCATGACAATGAATGGGAAATGCTTTCAACGCAACCTCAGCAGAAACACGGAATCCACGCAACAGAAATGGAGGAGGAGACGGAGTTCCTTGAGTCCAGTTCTGGGAAGACAAGACCAAATGGGTAAGCAAAATGTTACATTTATTTATTTTCCTAAAGATCATTTTATTTAGAAACCAGAGAAATGGTGAAGGCCCATGGAATGTGGAGGAGGGAAATTTTGCTTACACTCAATGTAAGGTGTGTGATCAAGGAAAGCAGTTTTCAGAAAACTATGCCAAATAAGGATTTGAGTGCATTTTTAGCCAAATAAATCTTTCATTTTCATCCATAGATATATATCCTCCCTTCCTCCTGAATCCTCCTTCTTTTCTTTCAACCCCTTTCCTGTTTAACATGCTGTTGGAAATGAGGAGGTGGCATTAGTATTTATTCAGCACCTGCTCTGAAGGACATGTAGCACATATCAGAACTGTGCTGGTCTGTTGTCCAGAGCTGGGAGTGCAAGGACTCAAGGAGGAGGTACTCAGGGCTCAAGTTTCTACACTTGGCCTGGAATTAAGCAACCAGAATGAACTCTGGGATTCAAAGCTTTCCACCTCTCAATCTGAACTTTCCCCAGCAGATCCCCAGTCTGTCTTAACAGAGAAAGAATTTCCAATTTCATATAAGCACCTGACTCTCTAGGAGAGCTAAGGAGACTGTATTTTTAAGCAGATTCAAAATCATGTGTAACACTCCTTCAGTCATTGGTTGAAGAATCAACAAATAACCTTCAAGCCAGTGAATCATGCATGCATTTGTGAACACCATATGGTTTGCTGGCTCTGTGCTGTGTCTGTGGGGAACCTAGGAGCGTGGGGCAGGGAACTGGAGCCACTGTTGCCTTTTAGATGGGGAGCTCATGGACAGTCTGTTGTAAGGATTTTCACTTCTTTGCCCTTGCCTCCATAAAGCCCTCCCGCTTCCAGGGATAAAAAGGGGAAGTTGTGAAAAGAGACCCAACTAAAGGAGGAAATAATGTTTCCCCTTTAAAATGTGGTGGAGAAAAATATGATTTTCCTGCTCAGTTTGGGAGTACAAAGATTTACGGACACCACGTACTCACTCACTCTGAGTCTAGGAATCTGAATGGCAACTTGGCCCTATCATTACCAGTTCTATATTTTAGGATTAACCTCCGGCTTATGTTTCCTCACCCATAAAATTAGTGGGTTGGGCTGGGAGACCTCAAGCTATTAAATTCTGTGATCCTCATTTGTGTGGACACAGAATGAGTGCAGGAGAGCTTTGCATTTACAAATTACATGTCTTCATGAAAACAACCCAGAGAACAGAAAGTCTGTGGGGAGAGGGGCAGGCTATGAAGGTTAGCAAAGTGCCCTAAGGCGTTAGAAGCTGTGGTTTCACAAATCTAGGAATTTTCAGATGACCTAATCTTTTCTTGCTCCCTATCAAACTGTTTCCTTCCAGAGCGACCCCAGATCTGTTGTCAGAGCGAGCAGCAGACAGCTCGCCTAGCAGCCTTGTTGGCTGAGCTGTTGTCTCACTTTCTGGTCTGTACTTTGCACACAGCCCTGAACACCATCAGCCGACAGTCACTTGCTTCGCTTTCCTCAAGGAGATTTCTTAGCTCATCTCCTTCCTGCCAGCTCTTGTAAAAAGGAAACTTTTCTTCCCATTGGATCCTGGCTGATTTTCCCTCTGGCATTGATATGATCTGCAGAAATAATTTACTCTGAATATATATTTGCAAGTTTTCCTCTTGTAGGGATGGTGCAGATTGGCATAAAATCAGTGTTTCTCTAAGTGGGGTCCTCAGCACGGAAGGAGGAGCTCTTGTTAGATCATGATTTTTCCCTCTCTTCGGAAGGAGGACCCCTGGAGCTGGAGCCGCCCCCACTGGGCTCCAGCCCTTCCCCTTGCGATGTTAGTGCATGTCTGCATTTAGGAACCCTTCCAGATGGGTTCGATTCCAAGATGCTCCACTTCTGATCCAGCTCTCTGCCAATGTTTCTTGGAGAGCAGTGGAAGATGATGCAAGTTGTTTGGGTCCTGTGCCAATGTGAGACACCCAATGAAGTTCTTGACACTTGACTTTGGCCTGGCTCAGCACCAGATCCTGTAGCTATCTGGAAAATAAAGCAATGGACAAAAGAACTCTCTTTCTCTCTGTCTTTCCCTCTCTTCTGTAACTCTGACTTTCAAACAAATCAATCATAAGGAAAAATATGCTTCCAGAGGCCAGTCTGTGTTCTGGCTCAGTGGGTTAGGATGCCACATGCAACATTGGTTTCCCATATCAAAGTGAGGGCCCCAAGACTGCCTGTTCTACTTCCAATCCAACTCCTTGTTAATATGCCCAAGGAAAAAGCAGATGATGGAGCAAATGTTTGGATATCTGTCACACATGTTGGGAGACCAGGCTGCAGCTCCAAGGTACTAACGATGGCCCCAGCTGTTGAAATCCTTGGGAGAGTGAACCAGTGAACAGAAGATCTCTCTCTCCTCCTCCTCTCTCATTCCCTCATCTTCCATCCATATAACTCTACCTTTCAAATAAATAAAAAAATAAATCTTAAACACTGATAGTAAATAAGTAGCACACACGTCCAGCCTTCCACTTTCCTGTCCATCACTTAGGCTCAGGCAATAGGAACACTGGATCTTTCAGCCACATGAATGTTGAAAATGAAGAACACATAAGTTGGTGGGAACTCTGGGAAGAACTGGCCCTTGAGAGCTTTGCCTGCCTCTCCCTGTGGGCTTGCAGCAGTTACGTTCGTCATCAAAGACCTGTTTATTTTTGTTTTTAAATCTCAATCGATCAAGTAGTAAATTTAAAGTATTACTTAGATTCTCAGAAGATGTCTAAAATATCACTGGAGAATTTGACATTCATATTGATATTTTGCTTCATGATAGCCATGAAGCTATCATGGTTTGGTTTATCTGCTAATATGCTTTTTTTTTCTTTGAAGATCATGGAAATGTTTTAAGAAGTAATTGAGTTTTTCAGAATATTCTAATAGGAATTGGAATAAAACTTTCCATGATGTCTCATTCTGTTATGTAGCTATTTCTTGAATATTTTATTTGCTTTAGCTTCATCAATATGTTTTGAAAAATTTTTTTTAATTAGCCATAATAGGAGTTGGTATTTATGGTGAATTCATTTAATCTGCACTCTCTCTGTTTGCAGAGCCTACCTTACAGTTTTAGAGTAGCATGCTTGTGAATGGGATGCCTGAGACAACTTGCGGTTGTGTAGTGTCCAAAGTTACCCATCCGTGGTAGAGGCAGATTCAGACTCCTTTGTCTTAAGGACTCAGTGCTTCTCAACTACAGCCTCCCAAGTGCCAGGGCAGTGTGCAAGTAGGCAAGCATCCCAAATTTCTCTAGACTATTCCTTAGTATTTCTGAATCTATTTTTTGCTTTGTTTCCATGATCCATTTCAAGCTTAACCAGCATTCCAAAATAAAAGTGATTAAGGGGTTTCAGGGGAACTGAACTCAGTGCAGTCGATAGTTCACTCACATGCTAGCTCAGAAACACGAGTGGCAGCAGTTTTCCTGAGTGGAAATTAAAAGTCAGGGGCTGCTCCTGACGCTGCAGTCAGGGCATGGAATCTTAAGGGTTTCAAATGACAAAGCAGCGTCCGGCTCTGTCTCAGCCTCGCGGGAGCAGCGGCGGCTGAAGCTCCTGGGGATCTGGGAGGCAGGTGATCCTGCTCATTTGGATGTGCCAGGGTCACGTGATGAGAAAATGGAGGCGAATCGGTGCTCCCAGTTCACTGCTCCAGAAGGGGGATGCTAAGGAGCTGTTCCCGTGCGTCCTGCCTCGTCGCCGCCTGCTCACCCGCCTCCTGTCACCCTGAGAAGGTAGATGGGTCCTTGTGCGCTTCGGGAGGAGAGGTTGCGGGGAGGGCAGACTGCGAAGGAGAAAGTCCTTCTTGAAGGAAATTGGAGGGGGAGCAGGGAGGGAAAGGAAGCTGACTCCCACGCAGCTCCTGGCGATTGACAGCTGCCAGCTGCGTGGCCTCCTGCCCCTGCACAGCCAGGAAAACTCATCCTTGCCTTATCTTCCAGCCCCTCTCTGGGCGACCAGGTAATCAAGGAGCACAGATACCGTCCAGCTCTAATCATTTAATTATTATTGTTATTTTTCTCATCTATCATGATAACGGAGTTAAGAAAAATCAGGGAAAATGTCAGTTCTTGAAACTGTGCAGGATTCTTACCTACTGTGGGAGGGGGGGGTATTGCAATGTCTGTTCAGTTTGTTTAGCAAGTCAGACAGCCCTGATCCCTGTGGCATTTTAATTTTTGATGTGCTTGCTAATGATTCATGAAGCTAGTGAATGCACACGTCTCTGTTTTTGTTGTGAAGCTGGTCTTGATTTACCTGAATTCTCAACTGCAGAAATAGGTCATCTTTGTCTTTCCAAAATGATAAGGCAGAAATTCCACCTAGAGAATAGCAGTATTTCACTGAGGACTGAAAGTGATGTGAATACTAAAAAATTCCCGTCTTGTCAATTCCCCTCCCACCCCCTGGAGAAAAAAAAAAAAGAAAGAAAGAAAACAAAGAAAGGGAGATCAGAAAAGCATAATTGGTGAAATTCTTATGTGGAAACAAACCTAGGTTCCAATACAGAAGTAATTTAAAATATGACTCAGCCTGACAGCGGAGTCCTGACCATGCTGATTTCAGGGAAGGAATGTCCTCTCCATAAATGACCATCATCCCACCGCACCTGTGAACTTTTGACGTGTATCCATCTTATATAAACTGCTGTGTGAAGACAGTTCCCATGACCATTTCCAACCCAGCCGCTGCCTTGAGTTACTCCAATAGAGCAGAATGAGAGCTATTCCTCAACGACTCATTTGAAAATCTTCATTGGATAAAAAGTTCCTTAAATTGCAATGGACAATATGTACCAAATGTAAAATCTGAAATAATTATTAGTGTGCCTAGTGACAAAACAAAACACCCATGGAATTTTCTTTCAAGGAAATCTTAAAAGATTCATCATCCAGGAGAAAAAAAATGAGTGGCCTTTATGGAACTATCTCTATTGGCAAATTAGATAACTACAGAAAAATTAAACTCTGCACTT